AAATATTCTATAAAGTGAATTTGATCTTTTAAATGTGACCAGCCCTAAGCTTGCTCAAGACTGCTGGCTGTGCTTAAAGAATGGATCATTAAAGGCTACTGCCATTTCTGTTTGGTGGAATATAACTTTACCTTTTCCTAGTAGATGCCCTATACTCCCACCCCACTCAGAAGTCTTTTTGCCTTTGGTGACCATGGCTCACTAGAAATGGCACTCAAGATGTGGAGACGTTGAATCCCTTCTGGTGTGGAGGCAATAGGTTTTTTGAAGAATCAGTAGGTGGTATGCTCTGTCCTCCTAATGGTACTGCCTTCTTCTGTGGGGATATGGTGTACAGTGTCTTACTGGGTAATTGGAGTGGGATCTGCATTGTGGTCCTCCTCCTTCCTGACTTTGGGGTCCTCCCTAATAACCAGTCCCTGCCCATATCTGCTGTTGATTATTCCTTTTCCAGACCCCAAAGAGCCGTTCATGCTGTTCCTTTGCTCTTGGGTCTGGGGGTGGCCACAGGGATGGGAACTGGACTTGCTGGCCTTGGTACTTCTTTACAGATGTACAATAAGCTTCCTCAGCAGATGATAGATGATATGCACCATGTTGCCAGCACTATCTTGGACCTGCAATCTCAACTTGATTCCTTGGCTGCCGTAGTCCTCCAAAACCGTCGTGGCCTGGACCTGCTTACTGCCAGAGAGGGAGAATTATGTCTGTTCCAACAGGAGGAGTGTTGCTTCTATGCCAATCACTCTGGTATTGTTCAAGATAAGATTAAAAGGTAACAGGAGGACCTTGAAAACTGTTGGAATGAGCTGCAATCAAGTTTCTATGGACTGGGCTAAATGGGTGGCTCCCTTACCTTCTCCCCTTTGTAGGCCCCTTGGTTACTATTATGCTTCTATTTACATTTGGACCTTGTGTAATCGATAGACTCCTCCAGTTTCTCAAGGATAGAGCCAAAGGTGTTCAATTGATGGTGCTCTGGCAGCGATATGCTGTCTTACAAGATACTTACTGGGAACCCTACGAGGTTGGCCATGGCCTCTACCAGGATGTGCAGGTGTAAGTCAGAGTCAAGAGGGTTTTTCTTCATAGGTCTGAGTCACCTCCCTTCCTTGAGGTTTCCCATTGGGTCTGCCCACCCTGTGGTGAACTGCCTGAAGAGCCAGAGTGGTAGTCAATGACGGGTAAGATCCCCAGAGGTGACAACCTAAGGCAGACACCTGCCAATAAAACACAAAGGGGGAGATGTAGGGCACATCACATCAGAGAAATAGAAACCTATGATGGAGAAAGGGAAACCTAACTTGCAGACTGGTGCTCACTTCCTGGTCTTGGGGCCACACATGGCTAAGATGGTGCCTAGCGATCAGCCAGAAGGCGATACCATGGGATGTGATGAAAAGTTGGACCACCTCTAGGATAGGCTCAGAACCCTTCCACCCTCATGGACAGCTTGCATCTCCCCTTACTGCCTGTAGAATGGGTGTACACATGAACTCTCCTCACCCTGCTGACCTTTATCCTGATTGGCTCATGTGCCTTGTATTAGCTGTGTGTGCTTCCTCAATAAAGGAGCTCCAGCCTTGACTGGTCTGACACCTCTGATTGTCCTCTGGCAAGGGAGGGCTGGGTGTGGGCTGTCAGTCAACTCTCTCCTTTCTTGGCTCATCCTGCCTGGGGCATGTTCTCCCTATCTCTCCTGCAGATTGGGAGGGAACGAAGACTAAAAACCCCAACATATTTCATAACATAGCTGCAAATGTGACTACTTGCTGAGTCCTATGCATCATCCGCATGAATCACTAAACCTGGAGGTTGTTCAAAGGACTTACAACACTTTTGGTGTCAGAAATGAGATTTGCTTAAACATAATTCTATCTCATATAAATATAGTGAAACCACCACATTTCACTGCATAATCACCACCACCACATATTCACAAATATTCTGGGCATATTAATCTTCCACAAAAGACAGTTTGGTAATAAATGATTTTTCAGTAATATTGGCACAATTTAAAAAATCTTCACATAATGGTTGCACCCCACTTATTTGCAAAAAAAAATGGCATAAAATCTGCGATGATTATGCTGAGAAATATGGCACTTCTTGGGGGAAGGAAGCATCGGGGATGATAAACTTCTGTTGTCTAAATAGCTATAGAATCATTCATGGGGTGAAGCAGCAGCTGAGTTGTGAGAGATTACCCGAGATTACCTGAGAGATCTGTTGTGACAGATTACCTGTGGAATTTGAAATGATTGATCCATGTATGGGAGAGTGGGTTTGTTGGATGCACTGGCTGATTTGGGCCACACTGGCCAAAGAAATGGGAAAAATGTACAGCTCAGATGATGCCTTTGGTTTTTGTTCTGTCCTCGAGGGTGGGAGGAGAATGGGCCCCTAAAATTTTCAAAAGTCAGCTTTGAATAGGCCAAAAATGTTAAAAGTTTGTGTTATTTGTTCCTCCAGGTGGGAGACACAGAGAATGCTACAGTTGTTTTTCAACCTAGCTGCAGCCATTTCTGAGTAGCTTCTCCAATACCACTTCCAGGTTCCTCTTACACTCTCAAATTCCAACCTGGACCTTCCCTAGGACTTGTGAAATTAACCCAGTAAATACTGGATTTACTGCTAGGGGTTTGAGCAAATTTGCAATGAGGGGGATAAAAAGAAGGAATTTTTAAATTAAGTCTTTGCATTTTGGGGCTGTTGTATCTGGATCCATGATAGAACTGATGTGAAATGTTATATGCTTTAATTTCACAGCTAATAGACGAATTGCCTCAATCAATGACAACTGCAAAAAAAAAAAAAAAGTGTTGGTGAACCAAAGCTTGCTATCTTTTTGTGGAAAGACATGTTAAAATTTAAATTCTTTGAGTATTGAAAACAAAACAGACATGGAAAAAGAAAGATGATGTGAAAAACAAAGGCAATCTCTAAAGAGATACCCTTTGGGAGTATGAGAAAGGTGTTTGGTTTGCTAAAGAACTCTTGTGCAACCAGATGTTAGGCCCTTTGAACTGGAGATTCTCCAGCCCAATGTGGATATTTTTGAGGGAGTCAATTTAGACTCCAAGGTGGACAAGATAAAAAACCTTGTATGCCACTTGGAAGCTGGTTGCCTTGCCCATCATTTCTTTTTTTTCTTTCTATACATGAGGATTGAACCCAGGAACACTTTAACCACTGAGTTACATCCCCAGCCTGATTTTATTTTATTTGGGACAGGGTTTGTTAAGTTGCTGAGACTAGCCTCAAACTTGTGATCCTCTTGCCTCAAGCTCCCAAGTCTCCAGGATTACAGGTGTTTGCCACTGCATCCTGGCTGTGATCTTATCTGGGTTTATTTTTGGTTTGTTTGTTTTTTGCAGTTCGAACATTGAACCCAGGGCCTTGTGCATGCTAAGCAAGCATTCAAGCGCTGAGCCACATCCCCTCAGTTCCCTGTAATATCTTAAAGAAAAACTACTGGCTTTTTAAAAATTCTGAATTCACAATCCAATGCTGATCACCTGGACCTGAACTTTATTTTATTTTGTAGTGCAGGGAATTGAACCCCAGGTGCAATGTTAAATAAGCGCTCTGCCACTGAGCTACACTCCCAGCCCTTGACCTGAACTTTCTGTGTGTGGTACTGGGGATGAACCCCAGGGGCATTCTATCACTGAGCTGCATTCCCATCCTATTTATTTTTTTATTTATTATTTTGTGTGTTCCTGAGGGCATGAACCCAAGGCCTCAATCATGTTGGGCAACACTCCATCACTGAGCTACATCCCCAGACCTAATTTTTCTATTTTGAGACAGGGTCCCACTAAATTGCCTAGGCTTGCTTTAAATTTGCTATCCTCTCACCTCTGCCTCCAGGGTTGCAGGGATTATAGGCCAGTATTCCCTGTTTACTTTGACCTGAACTTTAAAATGAAACCTAGTACTGTCTGCTGATTAAAAGCTAATCAATGTATGCCAAATTACAAGCTAGTGTGAAATTGCTCCATACAATGAACAGGCCATGGTGTTGTGTGACTAGAGAGGGAATATTCCAGGAACTATATTCCTTCTGCTCAGATTAACTCCTGTCCCCTCTCTATTATGCTATTGATTTAGGGCTTTCATGATTCCTTGAGTTTGTAGCAAGGGTTTTAAACCCCATCTTTCCCCTGGGGCACACACCTGAGAATGGTAGTATGATTATGAAATGCAGCTGTTCTCAGACAAAGATTGGCCTTTCCTAGTCTGCTCACTGGATAAATGATCAGGACAAAAGCAAATCCATCTGAAAGCTGTCAGAAAGGTCAGAATTTCATCCTGACTAGTTCCTGAACATGACATGCCTTTCTGGTTAAGTTGTATAAAAATATTTTTCTCTGAAAATACTTTTATCCTTCCATGTATATAAACCTTCTAGAAAAAGATATGATTGAGAAAATAGGGGATGTAAAGCCTTAACTGGGGCCTCTCCAGAAATCTTCACCCAGATTGATTTTAGGACTGTCAGCAAAAGAGTCCCTGAAAAAGAGTTCAATATAGATAAACTTCCTCTTTTTATGTTGCCCTATTTACTTGGCCACTGGCCAAGAAGATACCAGCACTCCAGGTGTTGGACACCCCTTACTAGTGTTTCACAAACATATTCAGTATAGTACTTTGAAGAAATGTGCAAACAAGGCCTCTGGCCTTGAGCTGGGGCTTCACAGAGATGTCTATATTTTAAGATAAGTTGCAAATAGGCTCCATGGTAACAGCTGGGGGGGGGGTGGAAGAAAGGGGAGAAGATGCTCTCCCCTTCTCAGGTGTTGTCCCTGAAGGGTTAACTTGCCCAAAACAGTGAAAGAAAAAGCTGCTTTTATGTGAACTTCAGCAGACTGTGAACTTCTGAACCCCTCCCCTTACATGCTAGGTATAAAACTCTGAAACTACCTGAACTCGGGGTTCAGGGGATTGATTGATTACAGCAAAAGCTGTGCCCTCTGAACCTGGCTGCAGCCAAATAAAACTGTTGCCAGCTATGTTTGGTGCCTTGCCTCGTTTTTCCCTACAACATTTTGGTGACCCAGATGGGGCCAAGGAGGTAGGGAAGGCTATTCTGCCTCTCTTGTCTCCGGGGACTGGCTTCCCTGGGGCGATGGGGGACAGTGGTCCCCTTGACCTGCCCAGGCCATTCTTGGCCTGAAGGAGGACACACCCAGGGCCCTGGGGCTGCCACCCTGGAGCACAATGGAACCCACAGGCAGCAGGAAGCAGAATTAGGGTTTTGGAGCACCACCCATCTGAACAGGTAGGACCCGGGTCCATTTGGTTTTGCAGCCTGTAAGACTGGAAAACGCCGCACCACACGACACAGATTACCAAAGAGGTCTCTCTTTATTAAAAATGGCTGTGTGTTTATATAGGTCTAAGAGAGGTGGCAGGGGCTGAGGTAGATAACAGGTCGCCCGTTTATTGGCAAGCTCTTCCATATGTCAGTTCCGGGGCCCAAGAAGTTAATTCTAATTGGGGCTAAGGCTTCCTACCGGCAGGGTTTGAACATTGGTGCCGGCGGGAACGTTTCGCGCCAGTGAAAGAAACAAAGAAGAGAAGGAGAGTCGTTAGACGCCATGCTGGGGTTTTTTTCTGGGGTGCGGCTGCCGCCGTTATGTTTTCCCAACACAACCCACCTGACTTCCCCTTGGAGGCCTAAGCAGGTGGAAGAGAGGCTTGATCAACCTCTGTTGGGTCCCAAGTACCCTCCAAAGTGGTTGGAGCTGAAACGGACCTGGGGAGTTGCCCGAGTAGTCTCTGTTTGGGGTCAGTGAGCAGAGGGGAAACTGTGACTCCCTTTTTGTTTGGCTTGGAATTGTTGGAATTTGGGCAGTATAGAAATTTTTTTCTGGCCATGTCTGTATGAAAGTGTGAGAAAGTGTGTGAGTGAGATGGACAAAGGGAAGGGTTCCTACCCAACCCGAGGGCCAAAGTGAGTGCAGAGTCCTGATCTGCGGTTCTGTGGCACCTCATACAGTCTGTGGTGGAATTTTACCAACCAACGTCTAGGTTAAAGCTCCAGGTTGGGGGTTGATGCCGACCCGAATGTCTAAGAGGGCCCTAAGTCCCTGCGAGGGGAGCGGCCGGAGATGGACCAAGAGAGTCTTGCCCTAAGTGTGTTTTGTTCTAAGTGTGTGACACCGATGCAGGGTGGAATATGGGAGGCATACTAAGGAAACTGGGCCTTCTGAAATGTGTGTTAGAAACCTTTAAGTATGTTTTCCTGGTAAATGTGGGGTGAAGCTCACTTCACAAAGGTGGCATACTCTCTGAATTAGAATGGCTCACCCAGGATGTGGGCTGGCCACCAGAAGGATCTTTAGATGAGAGAGTCATTGCTGAGGTCCTTTTGATTGTTGTTGGAACTCCTGAACCAATTCTCTTATATTGATTGCTGGCAAGAGATAGTACAGAAACAGTGCCCTTGGTTGAGAGCCTATCTGGATGGACAGTCCAAGTTGATGTTAGCCAGGAGCATAGTGGTCTCTAAGACCCAGTGGAAACCAGCTAACCAGAAAACCTGACTAGGAAAGACAGGAAGGGAAACAGTTTTCCCCATGAGCCAGAAGAGGACCCACCACCTTATGTGCCACTCTACCCAACTTTGCCAAGACCACTGGTACAACAGACTGTCCCCTCAGCCCCCTTGTCCTCAAAGGCAACAAATGATGGCCCCCAATACTGGATATTCCTTCCTCTGTGGTGTTCTCTGAGCCAATGGCTTCCTAGAACCAAAGACTCTTTCACCTCCCAAGATTAAGGTGGGATATTTGTCCCAAGACCAGAGCCACAACCCAGATGAGAACTTTCCAGATGCCCCTGCAAGGGACTAAAGGACCTGCCCATAATGATCAGAGGGAAACACCTGAGGGAGACAAGGCAGTTTTGTGTGCCAGCCTTTCACCACCACTGCACTCATAAGCTGGAAAAATCATACTCCCTCCTACATGGAGAAACCCTGGACCATGACTGATCTGATGCAGGCCATTATCCAGACCTAGGATGGGGCCCCAACAAAGAAGAAGATCTAAAGATAAAGAGATGTCAGGAAGCCCTCATAGAAAGTCCAAAAGGAAAGAAAAAAGAGAACAAAACACACCGTCTGTGCCCAAGAGTTAGAAGGAATCGGAGCCAGCCCTGAGCCCTAACCTAAGGCTGAGATAAGCCTCCCATTGCTCCAGTATCTCCCTCTCACACCCTCGATAGCCCTGAACATTTCTCTTGGCCCCACATCTGCCTAAGGCCCCTCTGCCCTATGAAACTGGCAGCAATAATCAAAAGAGATGTGTCCAACTGACTTAGAGCTACATGTCCAGGCCATCGCCGCTGCCGCTCCTCTCCCTGCCCAGAGGTGCCCGGGGGAGGAGGGGCACCATACAAACATTGCTGCTACAGTGCAAGTTTGTCAGTGAAGAAATGCACAGGTGCAAGCAATAGGTGATCAATGCAGCCTTTGAGGTACAGGCTCGGAGAGCCATTTGCCAAAAATTACAATTCTAGAGGGCTTTACTGAGAAGTGTGCCAGTGACCTGATTAAGGTGGCCACCACAGTTTCTGTCAATCGAGATCCAGAGGCTCAAAGACAGGCAGACCAAAAAAGATAAAAAAGGAGGATGGATCTCCTTACAGCTGCCCTCACCACAAATCCAGAGTTCACTCAAAGGAGGGCTCACTAGAACAAAGCCAATGGTTCAAATATTTATAAGAAAAAAAAAAAGCATGACCAGCCTTCAATGGCCCCAGCAGACAAGTACCCACTGCCATGCTCAAAAGCTAAGACTTGAACAGAAAAGGAGCGGATGTTTTCCCTCTAGCTTTTGGCCCCAGCCCCACCTTTCAGTTGATTTCCACTTGCTCAGAAGTTGATGATTGACGAATATGCAGGGGTCCCATAGACACACACAACTGCATCTGATACATGGGACCCAGCACCTCAGGAGGGATCAGCTGCTGCCAGCCCCCAAATGAACAAGGAATATGTTCATGTTAACAGCCAATAGTGGGCCATATGGTGCTCACTCCAAAAGGACATGCCATCCTGGCTCCAAGCCACATGCTGTGAGCCACCAGCAGGAAGGGCCACAGAGCCCCATGTATCCAGGCTTACTGAACAAAAACACAAGCGGGGTCGCTACTATATACAATTAGAGCAGGCTCCCACCTGACAAGAGGAGAAAGCCACACAGACAAAGAGCAACACCTAAGTGAGCACAATGTGGCTGCCACTCTGGGACCTGCACAGGACCACACCACTGCCCTCCAATCTTGGCACATGGCCCATGGCAAGATTTACATAGGTGCCTTTTACGCAAATGATGTCCCAGGTCATCAATCTCTGCTAAGATTTACATTAGATTTAAGAGTTGGAGAATCCCAGCAGCCGAGATCCTGCACTGGGAGATAAAAAAAAATTCCTGCATCTTAAAGCGCCAGACGCTCTATGTATGCTTCCCTTCCCTAAATGACAGTTCCTCCCAGGGGCTTAAGTACACCATCCTTGGGACAGCACTGGACTCTGAATTAAAAGCCCATATCTATCCAGAAAATGGTCAAATACTTTGGTTACCATCTGACTCAGCAACAGATCACAACAACCACTGGGCCTCAAAAGAAACAGGAGATCTGCTCAATTCCAGTTTGGGGCTACTGGGTTCAGCCATATATGGATCCCTAAATTTTCAGTTATGAAAAAACCCCTCTATGAAGCCACAAAGGAAGGAAAATGGGATCCTCTAATATGGGGGTCAACTAAGCAAAAGGCCTTTGAGGACATTAAACGAGCACTCCCAGTACATTTGGACTAGGGCTCCCTGATTTCACAGAAGCTTTTCTTTCTGTATGTCCATGAACAGTCTGGAGTGGCTGTAGGAGTTTTGACTCAAGTCCTGGGTACATGGACATCTATTCAAATAGCTGGACTTTCTAGCCCAAGACTGGCCACCTTGTTTCTGGGCCCTTGCAGTCATAGATCTTCTGGTGTTGAAAGCTGACAAACTGGCTATGGGATAAAAATTGGTTTTCAGGGTTCCTCATTCAATTTTGACATAAGAGTACAAAGGACAATATTGGTTGACTAATGACAGTTTGGTCAATACCAGGACATGTTATGTGAAAACACACGTTTCCATGTTGAAGTCATCTGGACTCTAAACCCAGCAACCTTGCTGCCCATTGGACCTGGACAACCTGATCACAACTGTATTGAAGTCATGGATGAAATGTTCTCCAGCAGACCACACCTGGCAGACCAGCCTCAGGGACACTGAAGTGGAGTACTTCACAGATGGAAGCAGTTTTATAAAAGATGGGGTATGTTTTGCTGGATATGCAGTAGTCACTCTGGACTCCACTGCTGGCAGAACCTCTGCCTCAGGGAACTTCAGCACAAAAAGTAAAATTTATTGCTTTGACTTGAGCACCTCAGTTGACAGCAGGAGTTTGTGTGGATATTTACATAGACTCAAAATATGCGTTCACTACCCTTCATGTTCATAGGGCCTTATGTACTGAAAAGGGGCTAATTAACTCAGGAGAAAAACAAGGGGCATGATGGATGGGCAAGAAATTCTTAAACTTTTGGATGCACGGTGGGCTCCCAGGAAGGTTGTGATTATATATTGCCAAGGTCATTGAAAGGGAAACACAGTGGTTTCTTGCCGCAGTCTGGCTGGGCACAAAATCACGAGCCACTCAAGCAGGAACAAACTTTATTTTTTGAAACTGCCGCCAATATCCAGTACGCGCCCATGCCCGGGAAGATTTTTCGATCCACCCACGTGGCCTCCTCCCGGACCCGCCAGAGAGAGCTCCTCCCCCGGAACTCCCTCCTACTGTACTTCCCCAACCAATGGGAACTCTCCAGGAGTCCCATAGCAGGCCTAGGTGAACAGCAGGAGTCCAATATCCATATGAATGCAAATCTTAACATAATCACATCATCTCAATGGCTAGCTGGCGTCACCTTTCAACCAAAAATGCCATGCATCATATACTTGGCTCTTAGCATCTCCCCCCTTCTGTTTAAGTAACAAGCAATCTGGCTAGGGACCGTGCCTGTTAGGTTTGTCCAATTCAACATATGGTTCTTACCCGTCATCGGAAAACTGACTTTTAGGCGTCAGCCTCCTGTCTTAGGTTGATACCACTGTAATTGGATCATACCCATCACTGACTACCAGTCCAGCATATAGCCATACTGTGGATAGGCCTATGCACCATTGGGGGGGTGAGGTTCTTTGCCTCACCTCTGTTGGCCCCCAAAATTAGACCATCACTAGTAGAAGGGAGGAGGATACAGAAATGTCACGACACCAAGTCAATTGATGGCTCCTAGGAAAAATTGCATCACTGGTGACACATCAGCAAAGATACGCTAGCACTACCATAATTCGCTGCATCAACAGATAGATCACAAAGCATACAAGTGATACATAGTCCAGGCAGTTCAAAGCAGTTCAAAGCAGAGGAATCTATCAATATGTCCATATCCTCCCAAAATAAAGCATACAAGTGATACATAGTCCAGGCAAGTTCTGTAAGCAGTTCAAAGCAGAGGAATCTATCAATATGTCCATATCCTTCCAAAATAAATCGACTCATTGATTGAGCATTACTTGTTGAGTTATAAATTATTGATGTATCAGTTTATACGGTTTATTGTGATAACTCTCGAAGAAGTTGTAGTTTGGTTTTATCTTTGTCTTCACCGGCACTGGGATGAAAATAGGAATTTTGACAATGATGCTAAAAAAAATATGTAACATTTCAACAGATACTAAGAAAACAATTTTTAGAACAATTTACATTATCCTGAACAGAATTATTAAATATAATGAAAAGGAAAGGTGAAAGTAAGCAAACAGATCTGTTAACCTTTTATTTGTTCATATATTAAAACAATCTTCAACAGCTGTTTACCCAAATTAAATTAAACTATTAAAATCACGTGAATAATAAAAAAAAATTTGGATCTATGTGCATGAGCGCTCCTCATATATGATATATGGACATACGCACATACAGACATACAACACAAAACAGAAGTGTGCACACGTAACATACAACACATAAGACAATAGTAAAGGCCTTGTAGCTTCACCTAGGTGAAATCTCCATTGCAATGTTCAAAAACTCCACAGTCAAAAAATAAAACTGATCAGAAAAAACATTAACCTAGGTCTGTATGAGCTCAAAAATAAAATAGAACTTTATGATGTGGGAAAAAGCAATAATAAAATAGATATTGAAAAAAGCATCCTGGTTAATCACTGTCGCAGATGTAAGAATAGCCAAGCTGGAGTTCTGGATATCAGCTGTTATGGATTTGAGTCAAATCATCTTCCTTTTGGTCTGTAGAAATTGTTTTAGTTAGTCTCTCTGGAATCCAAATTGGCTGCTGTTCTTCCTGTGGAAAAACACAAACAGAGCCCAGACTCCAGACTATCACTGGGTCAGGACCTTTCCATTGTCCTGTTAGAATATCTTTCCAAAGTACCTTAGGCTTATGTACATTTTTTGGATACATATGCCTTTCCGCAGCACTAAGCCCTGATGAATCCAAATTTAAAAAGTTTAGAGTAAAAAGGGTTATTTTAAGTTTATCTTTGGGGGATATATACCCCTTTCCAATTCCCTCCTTTTGTTTTAATAAGTACATTTTAATAGTTTGATGAGCTCTTTCAACTATGCCTTGTCCTTGTGGATTGTATGGAATTCCTGTTATGTGAGTAATGCCAAATGATGAGCAAAATTGTTTAAAAGAGGTGGACGCATAACCAGGACCATTATCGGTTTTTAACTGTTTTGGAACACCCACAGTGGCAAAATTTTGTAAGCAATGAGCTATAACATCTTTAGTTTTTTCTCCGGCATGAAGGGAGCCCATCAGAAATCCAGAAGAAGTATCAACTGTAACATGTAAATATTTTAATTTTCCAAATTCTGGCAAGTGTGTGACGTCCATCTGCCAAATATGGTTAGGTATCAGTCCTCTAGGATTGACTCCAAGATTAACTTGTGGTAAAAATGTCACACAATTTTGGCATTGTTTTATTATATGTCGGGCTTGTTCTTTAGTTATTTTAAAATGCTTTTGTAAAGTATTAGCATTGACATGGAAACTTTTATGAAAATTTATAGCTTCTTCTATTGTGGAGAAAATATGTATGTCATGTGTAGATTTATCTGCTAATTCATTGCCCAAACTAAGGGCTCCAGGCAATCCTGTATGTGCCCTGATATGTCCTATAAAGAATGGATCTTTTCTGTCCCAGATTAGACTTTGTATAGTGGAAAACAAAGAGAAAACAGTAGAAGAAGCGGAAATCCTACCAGCATCTTCAAGGGATACTATAGCATTAACTACATACTGACTATCAGAAAATAAATTAAATACAGAATCTTTAAACATCATAAAATCTTGTAATACTGCATTAAGCTCTACCTTTTGAGCTGATTGTTTGGGTACTAAAAATGTAAAAGTTTGATCAGGGGTAACTACTGCTGCTGTACCATTATTTGACCCATCAGTGAATATATTTGGAGCATTCATGATAGGGGTTTTTCTTGTCATCTTTGGAAAAACTACAGGATGCTTAGACCAAAAAGACAACAAAGGATTAGATAGTAAGTGATTATCAAATGAAACATTAGATTTACACATGATTATTGCCCAAGTATTTAACTCATTAGCTAACTCATCAATTTGATCCATAGTATATGGAGTAATAATTTTATTGGGAGAAATCCCAAACACTCCCTTGGCTGCTTTTATTCCTTTGAGTATTAATTGTCCTACAGCCTCAGGATATCTAGTAAGAATAGTGTTAGGAGAATAAGATAAATGTATCCACAATAATGGACCTTTTTGCCAGAATACTCCTGTAGGAATATTTTTTGTTGGCAGTACAATAAATAATAAAGGCAAACTTATATCAATTCTATCCAAATGCATATTTTCCATATATGTTTCAATGATTTTTAATGCCTTTCTTGCTTCAGGCGTCAACATGCGGGGTGAATTTGGATCTGATGGACCTTTTAGAATATCAAATAAAGGTCCCAACTCTCCTGTTGGTATGCCTAGATAAGGCCTTATCCAATTTATGTCTCCTAATAACTTTTGAAAGTCGTTAAGTGATTTGAGTTGATCTACTCGTATTTGAATTTTTGGTGGACGGACCATGGTTGAGGATAATAAAACCCCTAAATAATTAATTGGAAAATTTAATTGTACTTTATCTATTGCTATCTCTAGATTATAATTTTTAATAAGTTTGTAAGTGTGGCATAACATTCCAGCAATATGTTTTTATCTTTATGTGCCAATAATACATCATCCATATAGTGAAATATTTGTAGTTCAGGATTTTGATTTCTAAGTGGCTGGATTGCTTTGTTAACATATATTTGACACATAGTTGGACTGTTAGCCATCCCTTGAGGGAGTACTTTCCATTCATATCTCTGATCAGGACCTTCATGATTTAGTGCAGGGATAGTAAATGCAAAACGTGGACTATCCTTGGGATGAATTGGAATTGAAAAAAAAAACAATCTTTAATATCTATAGCTAAAACATGCCAGGTTTTTGGCAAAGCAGACAATTGAGGAATCCCTGATTGAGCAGGTCCCATAATAACCATCTCATTATTAATGGCTCTTAAATCTTGCAATAGTCTCCATTTACCAGATTTCTTTTTAATGACAAAAATGGGAGTATTATGGGGAGATATGGAAGGTTGTATATGTCCTTCTGCTAATTGTTGTTTGACCAGATCATGGGCTACTTGTATCTTTTCTTTAGTCAGGGGCCACTGAGGAACCCACACTGGTCTTTCTGATTTCCAAGTAATTTTGATTGTCTCAGTGGCCCTTTCTGAAAATCCAACCCATGTCTGTCTGTTCCTTGATCTATTTGTATTGGTGCTGCTATACCTTGCCCTTGTTTTCCTAATCTTTTTTCTTTCCTAAAGCCTTGTCTAGCCCTAGTAGTGGGTGCATTAGGATTGATGTTATTTGTTAACATCAAACCTAATTGATCTAGGACATCTCGTCCCCATAAATTTATAGGAAGATGATCCAATACATATGGCTGTATAGTTCCTTCACATCCTTCAGGACCCTTCCAATCTAATATCATAGAACTTCTATGGGGATTAGTCGCCACTCCTAGGCCTTGAAGCGTTTGAGTGGCTTGTTGTAATGGCCAGTGTTTTGGCCATTCTTGACGAGATATGATGCTAAGGTCAGCCCCTGTGTCCAGTAGCCCATTAAAGTCATGACCTTGAATATTTAGTTTTAGCATGGGG